ATGCCTGGATATGAAGTGAACTGTGTTTATTTTGAAGAGATAATGAATCGACATGATTTTACAAGACACAGGATAAGAAGAATGAAATATGAAGAACCCCCCCCACTCTCAACACTGTTGCTTGCTCCAAAGCAAGGATCAATTTCGACCCACTTTCATAGTCTGTGAATGTACACGTGAACATACATCGCAGCTGTCTTGTACCCAAGATGCCATTGCCACGCTGTTTGGCACCTCCCTCTGAGCTACAGAAAAGTCCAGCTGGTGTGCTATGGACACACCCGGATTTACTCAAGCAACTTTCTGCTGACAGGCAATGAGGTATTTCCAGTGTTGAATACAAGGCTGCGATTCAACACTGCACACACGTCTTCGTGTAAGTCCACACACAAGTTTCTCTGGTAAATTCTTAAGACGTAAAGCCGGGGAACATCTTTCATTTTAATGGATTTCTTCAAACGGGTGTTAAATCAGCTCTCCAAGGGACCTCAAGGCGCAGCTGAGATGAAGACGTGCAAAGCTACGACCGCTAAGGATCTTTCCTGACACTGAGCGCGATTCGGTAAGACTTAAATCACACCCGGCCCACCCGGGCGGCGGGTTCGGGTCGCCTCCCCCCGGAGACCTCGGCACGGCTCGGAGCGCGGGAAGGCGCCTCACCTGGCCCGGCATCGCCTTCGCGGTCCAGCGCGGCCTCGGCGTCGGGCGGGAGCAAGTACCGTCGCCGAAGCTGCTCTCGGGCCCGAGGGGCGTCCATCTTGGTACCGCACCAAACGCGACGGAAGTGACGCAAAACGCACCGGCACTTCCGGGGCCGGGGCTCGGGGCAAGGTCTCCCGACGTGGCCGGGGAGACTACTGTCTTAGCGGTGTTAGCGGGTGAGGGGCTAGCGTGGGGTCGGCGTTATGAACACTGCGCTCAAATCTACGAGAACGTTTCGAATCTTAAACTACTGATCTCCTCCGGTCGAAAGTGCCCCGAGTTTATTCCGACCTACGGAAGCCCGGATGCGTGCGGGGCCCCGTTGTGCTGCCCGAGACGCTTCCCTCCGCAGCCTCCAGGCTCGGAGATGCCAAACCCTAGAAATAACCCGCCTTCCAGGCTTCGACTCTCAGCCTCCAGCGTCTTCTACTCTTGACTTCAGAAGTCAACTTGCTAGATTTGAAAGGGCAGCGTGCAACCCCAGGAGAAAGAAGAGCGCTAGACCCGGCACCTGGACCTGGCGCTGTCCCCCTGTGGGACTTGGGTGATGCATAAACGCTGAATCTGTTTCCTCCTCGGTGCAGCGGGGATGATACTTGCCTCCGTACTTCTTGTGGTCTTTAAATTAAGAGTGTAGACACGTATGTGACTCATGTGAGCCCTCTTCTCCCCAGTTGTGAGAAATTGACCCAGCCAGGACCAGGGGAATTAAGTTACTTTTCCAGCAAAATGCCATTTCACGCACATAAACCGAGTGTCACCAGTAAACAAACTTTTCTCTTTCAATAATTCTGTTCGTTACCCTCCCAACCTTTTTCTACCAGTGCATGTGCTGAGAAATTTTGTGTTTAACCTTTCAAATGTTTACTGAGCACCTTCTGTTTGCTGGGAACTGCTGGGACCACAGGAGGCAGTGGAGATAAAGACAGTAAGACATTGGCCTTGCACTTGAGCTCCTGATCAAAGATCACTACAGAGACATCCTTTAAGGTAATGCTGTGTTTATAAATGTACAGAAGCAACTCATTATCTCAGCCAAAAAATAATTTTGGAGACCTACATGTGGTTAGTGGTGAAGACAAAGGTGAGTGACTAGTGAAGAGACAGCTTCAATACAGTGTCATAATAGAAATACGAATATAGGCAGTACAAATCTGGGAGTACGAATAAAAGGCAGTTTATTCTGCTGAGGTGTAGCAAGGAGCAGGGAGAATAGTTTGTGGTGGATCGAATATGGGAATGGATAGCCCAGAAAGCCACATGGGATTTAAAATATGAATGAGTAGGAATTGTTTAATATCTTCTATATGTCATGGGCATTTGTAAAAGGAAATTTAATAAACAGGGTGTCAAGTTTCTACTGATTTATGTCTATCATTTCTTCAGCCTTTCACACTCTTTGAAGCAAAGGACTTAACAGCTGGCAGGTCATATTGGCTTTCTAAACAATACTTTTTTTTTTTTTTTTTTTAGTATTTTTTAATTTCTTTTTCTTTCCAGACTCCTAGAGAACTGGGATTCATCTCTTCAAAGCCAGCCGGGGTCTTTGCCCTCCCTTCCTCTTTCTCTAGTTCAGGATTAGAGCCTTGTTAATAGGAAGTGAATTCATCCCATCAAATACAGCCTTCTGTTGATTGTCTCCTTGAGAAAGGGTCAGTGCGGGGTCTCCCTCGAAACCAAATATTCCCTAGAGCATCGCAGCGATTCCAGAGTTTCCATACATGGTATGTTCAGGTCTGATCAAATTTCCCTTTTAATAGTTTCAGGGCCTTTGTATTTAGATCTGAAATCCTTCCAGCCTC